GCTTCAGCTTTTACTAGGTGGAGTTGAGAAGTTTTTCCATCTCCCATTTCCTTGAAAGTTCCAGAATTTATTTTCAGAGGTCACCTCTTCCTTGGAATATCTTGTCGTATTTTTTTTTTTTTGACAGGCAGAGTGGACAGTGAGAGAGAGAGACAGAGAGAAAGGTCTTCCTTTGCCGTTGGTTCACCCTCCAATGGCCGCCGCGGCCGGTGCACCGTGCTGATCCGATGGCAGGAGCCAGGAGCCAGGTGCTTATCCTGGTCTCCCATGGGGTGCAGGGCCCAAGCACTTGGGTCATCCTCCACTGCACTCCCTGGCCACAGCAGAGAGCTGGCCTGGAAGAGGGGCAACCGGGAGAGAATCCAGTGCCCCAACCGGGACTAGAACCCGGTGTGCCAGCGCCGCAAGGCGGAGGATTAGCCTAGTGAGCCGCGGCGCCGGCCTATATCTTGTCATATTCAGCCAATGGTTGACTAGCGCAGTTTCAACATTCTGTTTGCCCAGTTTTTATCTAAAGAGGCAGATTCATCAAGAACAATGTCTACCTACCAAGTTAATTGCAAGCGACACTTTTATCAAACTTTTTTGTTTTTATGAACAAGGCCAACTTCTAGTTACAGGTTGTTTTGTTTTGGACACCAGCAGCCCAGCTCTAAGTGCACGTTGCATTATGTTGTGTGACAGCACTCCACTTGGTACCAATTTTATGTGTTAGTCAGCTGTCTTTAGGTTATGGTATAGTAGAGATAACTCATGTTTTTCAGTGGCTTGTAATTAAAATGTTTGATCCCTCATCCTTGTTCCCTGTTGCCTGCCACATGCAACAGTGCCACTTGGCTCTGCCCTAGTACCTTCTTGATGGGGTCCAGACTGGAGGAGCAGGTTTGATAAGGACTAAAAGGGTGAAGGAAGTCAGTTGGAACCTGGGTTCTCTGTGCCATGGTCCTAGGAAGACAGAAAATATTGTCTCTCCCGGATGGATGTTCCTATGATAGAACTGAACTACTGCAGCTTTTCAGAGAGACTTGGCAGGTGTTAACTTCAGACCGCATGTCACTGTGTACAGCAAGTCCTATGAGTGACCCATGTATGATGAGAAGTCTTTTATGTGAACAGCAGGACTTGTGTCCCCAAAACTCACGCAGATTAAACCACTCACAGAGGGAAATGGGGCATTTGTACTGCTGACCCTGGGGTAGTCCAGATCCATGTTGCTATCCAAGTGTCATTTAAAAAAAAAAGATGTATGTATTTATTTGAAAGGCAGAGTTATGTGGTGGGGGAGGGATGGAGGCAGAGAGAGAAAGGGGGGAAGAGAGAGAGATGGAGGGAGGGAAGGAGAGAGAGATACAGACAGACAGATATTGAGTTTCCACGTGCTTGTTCACTTCCTAAGTGGCCACAATGGCCAGGCGTGGGCTAGACTGAAGCCAGGAGCCAGGAATTCCATTTGGGGCTCCCATGTGGGTGGCAGGGCCCTAAGCACTTGGGCCATCTTCCTCTGCTTTTTCAGGTGCATTTAGCAGGGAGCTGGATCAGCAGTGGGACAGTCGGGATTAACTGGTGCCCATATGAGATGCCACCATCTCGGGGTGTAGCTTGACCAACTTGTCCCAGATGTCGTTTTTATTACTGCACCTTGAATCTCACATGCAAAGGTTTTCTTTGCATGGTACAGTGTGTGATTCTGAGGTTGAAACATACATGATATTGGCCCAGAGGAGGAGGAGGAAAGAGAATTCAGGAGGACCAAAGAGAAAGCAGAAAAGGCATGGAAGAATGAAAGCCCTGGTGTTTCTAGGTGGGGGAACCGAATGGCTCCTCTCGTGTCCACGAAAGGCGGCTCCCCCTCCTGTGATTGACTTGCAATGGAAATGTGTTCTACCACAAGTGTCACGAGACATGGCTGTGCTTTTTCTTTCCAGGAATGTGATTAGTATAGCACTTTGCCTATATTTATCCATCTTCACTTGATCAGTCTTTTTTATTTCTGGCATGTACGATTTTCACATAGAAAAAGAGGAATTAGAAACCAACTTGTACCCTTCATCATCTGCCTCCCAACCAACTGACACTGAATCAGAACACATGATGTACTTGAAGCTGGCGCTGGTGCTTTCTTAGAAACAAATGTTTAAGGAGAAAATAACCAAAATTAGACAGATATCATTTTCTGTTCTCATAATTATTCAGGGGCTGTAGCAAAGAACATCTCATCTCGCTTGCATTGTTTAGAATATTTCTGCTTTCCAGGTGATGGGTCCATTTCTGATAGGAGACTTTCCCTCAGGTATGTTTTTAAACAGAAAGGTGCTACATTTAGAGCAGAGGAACAGTGACTAACTGTACATGTGTATGGAGAGAGATAACTAAGCAGCAACAGAGAAGACGCTGTCTTCGCACGTGAGAGAGAAAGCACAGACGACTGGACTTTCAGGGCTTGCTAATCCACAAATGGTTTTTCCTCAGCCCTTCAGAGGTGTCCGAAGAGCTGTAGCCACTGATTCTGCAGGCTTCTGTTCGCAGGGTGCCCAGGCCATGGGATACAGATGGGAGAAGGCCCCTCATTTGAGAGAGGTGCCGGGATGAGGCAGGGAATGCAACCCACTCCCTCCCTGCTGCCCTGCTGTGCTGTTCCTGCTGCTGTGGAGCTGCTTCTGGGAGCTGGTGCTTTGAGGAAGGTTCCTTGCGCCCCAGCCCTTTCCCATCAAGGTTTCCCATTGTACGAACCGGGGGTCCTGGGCTACAGCTTTTCTCGGTGCAGATACTGGCCTGGGACAGAGCCTGCGTGGCCTAGTCTCCAGGCCCACCCTAACACCGCTTCTCTTTGAGAATAGGATGGATTAAGAGTAGAAATTCTCCCCCAGGCCAGCTGGTTCAAACCAGAGAGATCCAAGATGGCTGCCAATGTGATGTCAGCAGATCTGAAGCTCTGCTAGAACCTCATTTCCGTGTTAAAAGTCACTCTGCCGTGACAGTTGACAATCGTCATGACAACCAGCAGGGGAGATGATGAGAGGACAAAAAGAAGGTGGTTCCCTGGTTCTGAGAATTATGCGGCCCCCTTTCCCAGAAAATCCATGAATCTCTCTCTCTCTCGTTAGCATGCTCCTCCCCTCATTCCTGTGGCGCCTCAGCCTCCAGCAAGTGCAATGCCCCTGCTTCTCCAGTTTGGCCACTGAACAAAGCTATGCTGGTGATAGTCAACTTCCATTTCAGGATTGGCTTTGTGACACGGAAGGGACCACAATGGCTGGATGTTGGGGTCCCTCCCCGAAAGAAAAGGTAATGATATGATGCCTACAGGTTTTGAGAGGGCATTTTAGAAAAAAAATATTTGAAAGACAAAGTTACAGAGAGGGAGGGACAGACAGACAGATTTTCCATCTGCTGGTTCAGTTCCCCAATGCTGCAACCACCAGGGCTGGGCCAGCCCAAAGCCAGGAGCTTCATCTGGGTCGCCCCCAGTGCATGGCAGTGATCCAAGCACTTAGGCTGCCTTCTACCGCTTTCACAGATGCATTAGTGGGGAGCTGGCTGGGAAGTGGAGCAGCTGGGACTTGAACTGGCATCTACATGGGATGCAGGCATCGCAGGTGGCTTAACCTGCTGCACCACAATGCTGCCCCTGAGAGCTTTTAAAGCTTTTGAAATCAGCCCACATGTCAACAAGTGTAGAAGTAATGTTTGTATTTGACATGGCCATCTAGTTACTTCAGATGAGAATGACAGAGGAATGGACTGACGAGAGGATGTCACGTTGGTGAAGTAACCAGTAACTGTTCTCTCTCTCCTTCAGAGCCCTCATCTTCCTAGACCTGACTCTCCCGCTAGTCTGACGGGTGCAGCGTCTCTGCTCGCTTCCCACTTGAGCCCACTTCTGGGATGCTCCTATGTGGTCCTTGGAGTGCATGACCTAACCTGGCTCCTGGTACTGAGGGAAGAGCTGTAGGGAGCGGGAAGCATGCTGTGTGAAGGGGAGCACCTAGCTCTTTCCCTAATGTTTTTGCGGACGTTCAGCCTCCAGGGCCTAAACTCTCTATCAAGGCCTCCCTGACTCCTTGTCTGTAGTTATGCTCATGGGTGTGTTATCATACCAAGGCAGTGGGTGAGGGTACTTTCAAAATTTCATGGAAAAAAATGGAATTTATAAAAATATGTATTTTATTTGAAATGCAGAGTGATGGGGCGCAGGACAGCGAGAGAGAGCCTCTTTTGTCTGCTGGTCCACTCCCTAAATGGCTGCAATGGCTGGGGTTGGGCCAGGCTGAAGCCAGGAACCTGGAACTCTACCTATCCAGGTCTTCCATGTGGGGAGTAAAGGCCCATGCACTTGAGCCATCTTCCACTGCTTTCCCAGGAACATTGGCAGGGAGCTGGATAGGAAGTGGAGCAGCCAGGACTTGAACTGGCGCTCCGATATGGGATGCCATTGTTGCAGGCAGTGGCACCCCACTGGGCCACAATGCCAGTGCTGGAAGGAAAAAATGGAATTAAAAGATGTTTATTTTTGTGCAAAAAAACTTTTGAAATTCATGCAGTTTTTTCATAATACACATTCCTCATGAGCTTTATGAAGACCCTTTGAATGCATGGACTTCAGAATTTTCTTTGTAGCAAAATAAACTTAACATTAGATTCCATTTTTTCTACAGCTGCTTGAAGTACCCCCGTCAACTCTTACGGGCCTGCGCGCCCTTGCAGACGTTCATCTCTGTCAGCACTGTTTAGGAGATCGTCCGGGCCGTGTCGGTTCCTATTTGGGCAGAGCTCCTCTGAATCAAAACCAGTAATCCTCTTAGGTTCTACCGCTGCAGCTGATTTCCCATTTGCTTGTCTGGGACCACTTCTGACTGAGCAGGTATTCCTGTAAGTCGGCACTGTGAGGACACAGGTGCCTGAGGATACCAAAGCCAAGGGTCCACACGGAACTCCTCCCCAAGCTGGGCGGGCTACATAGCACTCGATTTTCAAGCGATGAACTCACAACTCACCAAAAGTCACTTTCATATAAATATGTTTTATTGCAGAGGAGTTATAGTTATTTACATGCTGCCACGATTCACAACGTAAATTCACCAAATGTCTCACGGTGGGATGCTGTCGGTGTCAGGTGATAGTTTCAGAAGAACCACAGACTCAGTGGAGAGACTTACAGTTTTATTGACTACGACTCTCGGTTGCTAAATGCTAGAAGTCAGAGGCAGTGTTTTCTCAGTCCTACCTGTCAGCACTTGCATGCAGGAACCTGGGGGGCAGATGTGAGAGAACTGTCGAGTTTCAAATCCAGACTGCCACCAGAGAGCACAGTGGGCTGAGTTTATAATTCATGTCGTAAAGCATTGAATTCTTGCATAAAATAGACAGTTCTATGAAGACTGGTAGAAATCTACTTATTTATAAACCCTGGCTGACAAACAGGGACAGGACGCAGCCAGCACACACACTGAGAGGGACAGCTGAGCATGTGTCTGTGACTTGACGTGTGCGTATCCGCGTTCTCTTCCTCACCGGTCTGGGCAAACCACCTCTCCTGGTGATCACAAATGGCGATGGGACTCTCGGAAGGACCCTAGGCACTCTCGCTGATGGATGCTGGTGGAGAATAATCTGGGGGCTGTAGCATGTCACTAAGGGATAACTTTAAGTCTTCTCTAAGCCACATCTCTGGCAGGCTCATCATGAAGTGCAATGAAAAAAATCAGTGCTGCTGGACCACTTGGTCCTCAAAAGCGAACCAAGGGCAAGCAGATCTTAGGCAAATGTGATACGGAGGATGGGAGTCTAGAAACCTCAAGCCAAACTCACGGCAGGATCTTAAAGTATTCCAAGGTCACCATGAAGATAGGCCTTGGTTGGAAAGAAAGGGATGAAGAAAGGAAGGGGACACTCAATAATACTAGAGGTATAATAATAATAATAATAATTTCTGTAGCTCTTCTCCCCTGCCCAACCAACCTGAGTACTGCCTAAAGCAAGCAGCTGGGCACAGAGGGTTTGTACACGGCTCTGCAACACCGCAAAGTGCTCACTTCCTGCTGGGAGAGTTTGTGATGAGAAACACGGGGAATGCTGTCCTCCCACATTCTCTTAAGAACAGCCCTGAGCCCACCTTCTGACTCCCTTCCCCCACCCTTTATCCTGAAAACCAGTATTTAAGCTGTAGAATGTCCTGGCCAAACAAGCAGTTGGTGCTTCAGTGTTCGAGTGAGAGGCAGGGACGTCTGGGCTCAGCTTCGAGTGCAGTGGGATGGGGCTTTGGAAACTCAGCGCATGCACGGCCGCTTCAGCAGGGCCAAAGTCTGGAGCTTGGGATTTGCGTGCCCAGAGCTCCTGGAGGAAGGCGGTGAGTGAGACAGGGTATGCGGTGGGGGCTTTTTGCCTTGCAAATCAGTCTTACACTTTATCCCCTGAGCCGCGTGGCTCGGGGCCGTCTGCAGGTCGTGTATGTTTCCAGTGCCTGGGAAATGAAGAGCCTATACCCGCCTTTTAGGTTTTCACTGAATCAGGTTAAAAAACCTCTTTGGGATCTGAGCCCAGCAGGTTCTATCCCTTGCTGAAGCTGTGAATAAAAGTTTATGAGAATAAATAGCTTAAGGTAATTTAAAATATTCTATTTTCAGTATGCATAATAAAAATATATCCATACAATGATCTTGATGCTATCATAATTTTTCTCTTTAAAAAAATAATCCCTTGAAAGTGCTATTGGGAGCTATCATTCTGTTTCTGTTTTGAAAGGCAAATGTCCTTGTTCTGTAATCCTCACATCATTCCTAGAGTCTTCCCTTTCCACGGTGACAAGAGTACACAGTATATCTTTCTCAGTCTTAGCTTCTTCCTTAGGAAATGCCACTAAGTATGAAATACTGAGAGACTGAAAAGGGACAATTAATTGGAATGAAGGCATTCTCCATTTGTGACTTAGAACAAACAATGGGTAGGTTGTCCTTAACTTACTGAGACACAGGACTAAGTAGGACCAATTCATCTCCAGTGTTCATATAGCTTCAAAGTCCCTAACAAGAAGTGCAAAACAAGGAACTCAACTTGTATAAAAACCCTGATTAAGACAGTATAACAAACCATGATGGGAGCTAATAGAGTCAAATCCAAGTCCACAATGTAGAAACCACAGCCAAAACTAAAAGTTTTTTTTTTTTTTTTTTTTTTTTATCATAACAGTTATGGCTTCCCAAGCCAGAGAAAGCTTACTGAACTCCAAGGACCAACTAAAGATAGATAGCAGGTATTCTGTAAGTTGCAATAACCATTGAGTAGCTGCAGATTGCATAAGTGTGTTGTGTCACATCATATCAAAGTTATTTGCAAAAATTATACAATCTGGAATGCTTGAATATGAGACACAACAGTGTACTGAAACATACATTGATAAGAAAATGAGAGCAATCGTTAATATAAAAGGTGTTCTGAGGGATGCATTAGGTTAGCAGTGCTATCAAGGTTACGTAGGTACAGTAAGTTCTCAGTCAGCTACTGAGGGTTGTAGGCGTCTAACCCTTCTCCTTAGCAAAGTCTCACAAGTGGTCTCTGACTCCTCATTTGCCTTAGGCTCTTCACGTCCGTCATCAGCACTGAGCAGGCGCAGACAGGGCTGTTTCCATGAACGTGCGGAACCCGAGGACTCTCCTTGTGTTACCAGGGGGTTGACCCTGTTGCCTTCTTCCGCCCTGCCTTTGCCCTTACCCTCCCCTCTATCATAGCTTCCCTTCATTGACAAATACTCCTAGGGGATTTTTTTTTTTTTAATTCTTGTATCTTCTTTCTTTTACAGACTTCAGGTTTCCTCGTCTGCCTTCTCTTCCTGGGGATGCCACACGTGACGGGCACCCCAGGCCTCTTACTTCCGAGGCCCTGCAACCTTACTTGCATTGAAAGCAGAAGAGGCAGGGAGAACCACACTTTGGTCTGCACTGGGTCCACCCGGGCTCTCAAACTCCCAAGGACACACCTCAGCTCGCGAGGTTAAAGGTTGCTGGAAGTTATTACTGGAGTGGAAGGAGCCAGGCACATTTTCCTCAGAGGGAGATGTCTTTCTTTCCCGGTCTCCTACGTGGTTGAGACTTTCATTCCCTCCTTTGGCCGCGGCGATGCTGGCGGGCAGCTCCCCATGCTGCCCAGCATGCACACTGGCTGCAGACCGCTGACTGCCGGCCTTGTCTCTGCCTTGCCCTGGGGGCACCGGCGTCTTGGAAATCAAAGCCTTCTCATCTTCATCAAGGGGCTGATCCTGGCTCTCCCAGGGGCACACTTCAGCCTTGTCTACGCTTTTCGGGTGGGACTGCGGGCACTGAGATTTCTCCCTTGAGGGAAAAGTTGGATTTTTCTCCATTTCAGAAGCCGCAATCGACACGTGCTTTTGAACTTTTGGTTCTGAAGGCACAGGACCTGGGGTCAGGTCATAAACCTCCCAAGGGCACACCTCCCTGATGTCAAAGTTGTCCTGCATCTGGGCGGTGCCTGAGCCCACGTCAGTCTTGGCAGTGGAGGGGTTGACCCTTTGTGGTTTCATGATCCCCGACTTCGGAGGCTTCCGTGCTTCCTCCGAGGGGTTGCAGTGTAGCGGGGTGGACTCTTTAGTCTCTGTGTTGTCCGGATTGGAGTCTTTTCTGATGGTCTCTCTCTCTTTTGGCAGAGGCTTCTGGGACTTGGCACGTTCCTCCACGCCTGACACTTGGGTTTTCCCAGCTAGCCCCAGCGTCTTCTCCTTGGCACTCGCTATGACGCTGAGAGACTTCTGTAACATGGATGTCCGCGGGTGCCCCGGCTTCTTCTCGGAGCTGAGGTTGTGGGCGCTGGCCGACTTGCACACCAGCGGCACCGACTCCGTGGACGCGGCCTCGCTGTCTTCTTTCAGCTTCTGGGTTAGCTTCTTCCCCGACACGGACTCCAGTGTCGAGTCTTCCGTAGCCTCCTCTTCTTGGCTTTCCGTGGGCAGGCTGCTGGAGCCGTCCGTCTGGTCCCGCACGTGGTCGTAGGTGCTGTGCGATTTCTTGAGAGAGAAGACTCGGTTTCTCAGCGACTCCTCCTTGGGTTTCGCGGTGTTACTGGAAGCCTCCGGGGGGTTCTTCTTGCCGAGGCCCGTGCTCTTGGCCGGGCCGTGGTCTGCGCCTTCCTTGTCCTCTTTGGAACACTGCCTGCTGACGGTCTCCGGGATCTCGGTGATGCGCCGCATGATGGAGCGCCCGAGGCCCTTCTTGGAGCAGCGCTTCTTCTGGAGGTGCGGGTTGTTTGTGATCATCTTCTTCCTTTTATAGATTTCCAGCTGGGCGTAGAGTTTTTTCAGCTCGTCCTGCAAGAAGAGAAAAATGCAGAGACATGTAGAACGCAGCCTTTGAGCTGGGCCCTGCCGCTCCCTGCACTGGAACTCAGCGAGCTGCGGCTCTCTCGGGCAACTGCTCTATTGCTTCTGCTGACATCTGCATTCATGTCTCCTCATTTTTACTTTGATTATTTCATGTTTTGTTTCACATAAAGTTTAAGCTTTAGGACAGGAGCTCATGCATTCAATCCTTGCACCACGCAGCAAACATCTTACCCTTTCAAGTGGTGTGGAGCAGCCTGCACCTGGACCAGACACGATGCCGTGTGGTATCTGGTGATAAGCCATGTCCCTGAAGAGTGCTGGGACCACCAGCATGACCACCACGCGGTCAGGGATCAAGTTACGCCTGATGCTGCCTGTCACCTGGAGGACAGGCATCTTCTTCAGATGCCGATATGTCCTCACAGACTGTATGAAACAGTCCAGGCTCTGTGCTACAGATCTGGGTGACTGTCCACCAGCAGGGTGTCATGAGCGCCTCCTATGGACCATGTGCGTCAGTTCATCAGTATGAGCGCTGATCCATCAGTCAAGACCATCAGGGATGGCCTGGCTGCTAGAGCCCGAGCATTCTAACACGCCATGTATACATCCTGGGTCTGGAGTGGCTCTGCGCTTGCTGTCTTCAGTTCATACACATGGATTCCCTAACACAAATGCGTGAACGTGGCGCGCGCCCACACACGCACGTGCAGCTGCCTGAATCAACCGGCCTACTCTGAATCAGGAAAGCAGGCTCGCTGGCATTACCCGGATGTCCTCTGGATCCAAGCTGTGCTCGCTCCAGGCTGAGTTGATGCTGCTGTTTAGGTAGGATCCAGACCGGCCCATGTCTAGCTCATCTTCATACGCCTCCGTAGCAATGTCATCCCGGGGGTTATTGCTTGAATGGGAAAACTGCAATAGACAGGATGAGCTGTAGCCGTCCGCTCACCGGGAGGGCACCAACGTTTCCTAAGGCTTCTGCTGTTAACCTCATTTCTGCGGCTCCATGGACTCATTCCCTCGCCTGTTGTCAAGGCTCACTGCTTTGCTGTCCCTGTCCCGTGCGGAAGCTCTGTGCTGAGTCAGACCAGCGCAGAGTCCCCCCTTCCACTGCAGGGTTCACCCACGCCCCTCCTGTGGGCCCCCAGTGTTACCACATTGCTCCTCTCCCATGGGGTGTTGCGTTTTGAAAATGAAAATACGTACAAGGATCTGAGAAGTGCCCTCTGAGAGAAGCAATTTCGACCCCGTGGTTGCTGACCAGGAATTTTGTAAGCAGTGGGGTCTGCCTCGTGTTTGTCATTTCACTTCACACAGGTGAGGATCCATCTGTGGGCACCATTGGCCCTGGTGGCTTGAAAGGGACTTTCAGTCCACTACAGGTGCTTTCAAAACTCAGTGCACAGGAGATGTGCATTCCAGCCCCAAGTCTGCCATCCCTGGGGTCTCAACCAAGAGAGGGAGCCACTCCCAGCAGTATCCTCTCGGCTACATGGTCTCTGTTTAAACTGTAAGAGTCCATGAAATGACAGACTTTCTCTTAAGTTCACCCTTCTATCCTTTATCACCTTTTAAAATCTATTCTGACTGTTTTCACACAAGCTTATGATGATTTTAGTTTCGTGTGCTCTTGCTATGTGTCTTCTTGATGTGGAGGTAGGGCAGAGTGAAATGGGGAGTGAGGGAAAGCAGGCAGGAGCACCTGCCATGATGCGTGGACCAGGAGTCCGTCCTCTGCACAGCAGGGGAAAGAGCCGGGAGCACCCCAGACACTGGGCCAGGGACTCTGTTAACAATGATGACCAGGTCTCTGTGATGCACGGGTAATCCACCTCTGTGAAAACACCCAGCTAGCCAGGTGAGCGCGTGCGTGAGAAACAGTGCAGCTGCCCATCTACGTCAGTCAGAACAAATCTGGGGGAACTGGGACGGAGGACCACAGGAACTGCGACTCCTTCCTTCACACTTCCGCCTCTATTTTTGGGACCCACAGGTGTTGGGAACTCGGGCTGTAAACAAATGCAACAGGTCCCTGCCCTCCCCGGTCTCCCCCGCTGCCGGCACAGCCACCTGCAGCCTATTTATAGAAGGAGAATTATTTTCCTGGAGCAGAGTCATGGAGGCGATCTCGAGTTCGGCTGAGGGAACAGGCACTGCTGGGTGTTGCCCGTTTGGCTGTGATTTTCCTCTGGCGCGTATCTGTATCTAAAGGACTATTTTAAAAATAACCTTGTTTATTTATTTGATCTGTTCCCCCTCCTCCTCTCCAGATTTCTATCTGTCCATTATTCCTGTTCTAAGGGCTCAGATGAGTGCTGTGCAAAATCCTTCAGTAATATTTTAGAGGACTTTTATTGACATATACTATTTATTGTATTTATATAATTATTATATTTATTTATACATATTAATACATTCTGGCTGCTAACTATTTATTGAGAAGTGATATAATTCACTTATTATAACATTCCCAATTTAAGTAAACAACCCAGTGTTAGTGTATTCACAAGGTTGTACAAATATCACTGTTATTCAATTACAGAATATTTCTATCACCCTAGAAAGAAGCCTCATACCTGATACGCAGTCACTTCTGTTTCTCCTACCTGCCTCTAGCAACATTAACCTAATTCTGCCTTTATAGATTTGCCTAGTGTGGACATTTCACGTAAATAAGATGATATGGGCACACGGTTTGGCCTTGTGTGTCTGGTTTTTTCAGCTGACAGAATGTGTTCAAGTTGTGGCATTATTCTGTGTTTCGGTCACCTTCACTGACAGACGCCGTCCCACTGTATGGACAGACCGCAGTTAGTGTGTCCATCTGCTACGTGATGGACATTTGGGAGGCTGCTACTTTCTGGCTGCTCTGCCTGGCGCTGCTGGGAGTGGACCCTCACGTGCAGGCTCCATAGGAACCTGTTTCCCATTCTCTGTGGAGCCCAATAACACCTTAGGAAATGAATGAACAGCTAGTGTGAGTATACATCTATCTAAGAATTATGCAATCATAATACGGAAAGTGCCAACACAGCCGTTATAATGCAGCCACAGACTAACTTATGCAAACTGTGGCTGGGTTATGGCATGCAAGTAGGAGATAAAATACAGTGTTTTCTTTCTGCTCACAACCACTTGGCCTGTACGAACGGGCTGACTCTCCATGTTTTGGTTAATTCTGAGAGTTGAGGTAAAGACAAGAAGTCACAATTCTGGTTTCGGCAGTGCTGATGTTATGTTGTGTGACACAATGATAAGATATACAGGGTTCTGATTTGAGGTTCTCTACCTATGAAGGAGGAGAATAGTGATAACGCTGTGATGTGTACGATGTGTCCTTCCCCTAACTCCAACAGCATTCGATTCGATACTGCCCACTGTCACGCCACGGAGGAGGCAACTGAGACTCGGGCCTCGGGCCCTGGCGGGTGCCAGGTTTCCCAGCTGCTGTCGTGCAGCTCAAAACCCTGTACTCGGAGCTGGCGCCGCGGCTCACTAGGCTAATCCTCCGCCTTGCGGCGCCGGCACACCAGGTTCTAGTCCCGGTCGGGGCGCTGGATTCTGTCCTGGTTGCCCCTCTTCCAGGCCAGCTCTCTGCTGTGGCCAGGGAGTGCAGTGGAGGATGGCCCAAGTGCTTGGGCCCTGCACCCCATGGGAGACCAGGAGAAGCACCTGGCTCCTGGCTTCGGATCAGCGCGGTGCGCCGGCCGTAGCACGCCGGCTGCGGCGGCCATTGGAGGGTGAACCAACGGCAAAAGGAAGACCTTTCTCTCTGTCTCTCTCTCACTGTCCACTCTGCCTGTCAAAAAAAAAACAAAAAACAAAAACAAAAACAAACCCTGTACTCGGGCTCCTGGCCCGCCCTGTCGCACTTCCTTACGCTGCCAGCCTAGACAGTCTCTGTCAGAAGCTGTTGGTGGTGAGACCCGTCTACACATCCTAGTGTAACTGTTTCTATTCCCATGAAGACTGAGTGCTTAGCATGCAGCATTCCTCTGCATAGGATCCAGTGACGAGGATCCTCACAACAGGGTAGTTCTTTGAAACAAGGACTTCGGGGGTGGGCAGTGCAGGCGCCCACGTGCTGCCTGGAGTCCCTGGGTTCCACGGCCGGCTCTGACTCTTGGCTCCAGCTTCCTGTCAGTGCAGACCCTGGGAGGCAGCTGCAGGAGCTCGAGTGACGGCGCTCAAGCCCAGGCTGAGTTCCCAGCTCCAAGCTTCTGGGCACTCGGGAGTAAACTAGAGGCAGGGACATCTCTCTCTGTCTCTGTATATCGCTTTCTGCCTCTCAAAAAATTGAATAAATAGTAATAAATGATCTTAATGTTATAGCTGTAAGGGAAGCTGCCTCGAGCCCATAACTGAAATATAAATGGATGATGGAGTTTTGTACCAATTAAGGCAGGCATGTAAAATTATTTAAGATGTTCAATGACCCCCAAGAGAAAACAGCCAGCCATTTCCTGAAGAGGAAGACGACACCTCTTGGGAGGTCAGGCAGGTCTCCATGCCTTCGCTGAGCTCTAGCTACACTAGGGAAGACGGCTCCACGCGCATCTGCCATGACTGTCCTCCACACGAGAGGTGACAGCAGAACAGTACCTTTGGGATCAGCAGCAGCCCCATGGTAACAGTGACAGTCAGGTGGGTGTGTGCGAAGTACAGCATCAGTATCCAGTCCGACTGAAGCCGCGAGGCCAGAACAAACCTGCAACGAGACGTCACCCGGTGAGCCGCACACCGCCAAGCATGCTGTTCCAGACACTAGGTACAGTGTACATAAAAATAGGATGAGGAAAGAAATCGGGCTGCCGTTTCTTTGGCGTATCTCGTCGTCATGGGAAAATACTGCTCTCGGTCACCTTCGTTGGATGCACAGACGTGAATTCCTTATTGTTTATTGTTTTAGAGGACCAGTAGCCGGAGAGCTCCCTGGAGTGTTGTTTTGCATGTACACAGGTTCTACAAGGCCAAACGGTAAATACCCACGAATGCAAAGGGCAGATTGCACGCTGATGGTTTCAGGCAAATTTGGATTCTGAGACACATCTAAGTAGCTCTTGATTCTAATTTCTTTATGCAAAACCATTAGTTAGAGTTAAGAAAGAAATAGTGGGTAAAACGATCTTTGTAAATGATCTCAGAAGGTTTAAATGATAAACCAGGAAATGGATAAAATGAATAAACTCATAGTTTGAAAAATGCACCTTTAAAAATAAGTTGTTCTAAGTTATCACGTTGCTTTGGATAACTTAAGATGCAGTACTTAAAAACCTTATCTTAATGAGGGATTTTTTTATAAAGTTGGGTTCCAGGATGCCCCTGCAGGAAATGTGATGAAGAGAAGTTCAGTACTGCAGTCTCCGGCAGTGTAACGGGAGTATTTTTGTGAATTACTAGGTGCATGCACAAACCAAGGCTCATGGCTTACAGTCACCATGATGCAGAACCAGGGCATTCTACACAGGTCTTCTGCGATTACCCCGTCCTTTCAATGTCTCCCCCATCCACTGTTTATCCATGAACGCTAAATATGAGATTTTACTGCCTTTGGAATCAGAGAATTAGAATTTCATTTCAGTGAAACTTGAAAAGCTGACATCCTAAGGAAATGTTCCTGATATCATATAATCATACAACCGGCCTAAGTGAATGGATGAACAGGGAAGAAGCCAGTGTTTATAGCCACACTGTTTCCTGTTCATGGCAAATTTACCAAGGAGATTCCTGGTGTGAACATTTAAAACCAAGCTGCCACGCAGGGCGCTCATTCCTCGTTTTCACCTCCACTGGGCTTCCCCCAACCAGGAAGCTGAGTGGAAGCCGAGGAGTCGTCCCGAATGGACAGCTGCCGTCCGCTGTGCCTGCACAGGGAGACAAAGCCGACTCTTAGCGGATGTCCAGGGCGCCGCGGGGCTCTCCACAGTTCACGTCGTGGGGAAGGGTCTTCCGGGGGGAGGGTCTCTAGCGCCTTTGTGGCAGAGGTGGCTTTATACAGGCGAGCCTTGCACGTGACCGAGTGAATATTCATTCTGTTCCATGATGAGATACATTTGACAGTTTCTCTGGTGAGTGTTTTTATTAAGCATTGTAATGGGACCATGCCACTCAGCAGCAAATTACCACCTCTGAGGCATATTTGCAATATATACAAAGTGCCCTGGAAAAATGGTAAGATCCCAAGTGGTTGGGGGTCACTGCCAGCAATGGAGAAGAAATTTACATCCAAGGCGGCGAATTTATAATCTCAAAGTACACTGAAGTCCTGGGAGTTCCAATCTCAAATGCCAACACAAGTGAACTTTAAGCTGGCATGACAATGTACAGAAGGAAGAATGGCTGCATACATTTTAAATTAAAGTAGCGACTCTTCCAGAAAAAAAGACTTTGAAGTCTACTGACATCAAAAACCCTCCAATTAATCTGCTTTAAATACTGTTGGGTTTTTTGGGTGACATTTCTGACTAGAATTATCTTGAGAAGAAAAATAGGTTTGCTGCAGTTTTAAAGGTTTAGTTTTAGAAAGGTATTTCTTGGTGTTAAAAATAGAATGTGTTAAAAGTCAGGAGCAGAGAAATATTTGAAAATTGAGGCTAAAAATAAAGCGAACTTAAAAGTCTTGCACCTTCCCAAAGGTTTGCTTTCTGCTCAACACTAAAAATAAGTAGTTAGAACAGACTGGGAAAAATACCTTTGGCATTTATTTATACTTCCAGATTAATGCTTTGATTATTTTGCACAAGTTGACAAATTTTCTAAGAATTAAAGGTGGATTCATATCTAATGTGTTCATGTATTTTTATTTATAATGTGTGTGTATACGTCACCCATACAACTTTATGTTTTTGGCGGAAAACAACATATGCCATAATGACAAAAGAATATTTCCTCTGATGTTGGAAGGCTTATTTAATATTACTCGCTCGAGGAAAAATTACCAAAGTGCATCAAGCTGATTTAAATTGTTATGTAACCACTACTTATTCTTGAACTTTAAAAATATCAGAACCATAGAAAATATGCATTTGGTTCATGTATAAATTTTCATATATAAATAAGATCCTTTCTTTCTTTAATTGTTATTGCCTATTACTTGCTACCCACTTACCTGCCAAAAATCAATGTTCTACATATTTGCCGTGTTAAACTAATTCCATTGCTTGGCATTTTCAGGAACAAATTAATTTTCCCAGAGAGAACAGCTCATGCACACTCTTGATTCTTTCAGGCCAGTACACCATCGTATGTTCTGGCCCAGGTGGAAAGATCAAACTTAACTTGACATGTAGGGGACTGTTGCTCATCAGTTGAGGCTTGGTTGCTCTTTCTGCACCCCTCTGCTACCATCAGAAGGCCTCCCTGCTCAGAACTGATAGCGGTCCACACCGTTGTCTGGAAAGAGGCTGGTCTTGTAAGTGTGCCGTGTCTACCAAACACCCCGTCTGGCAGGCTCGCTGTGAGCTTCTCCATCAGAACGTGTGTATACACAAACCTGACTCACACTTAGTGATGCTTCTGGCTGGGCTGCTGGCTTGTTTGGGGCTCTGCAGATTAGACACAGAGCAAAGTAGGAACGCTGTTTTCAGTCACGGCTTAACATACAGCGCCTGCCTTCTTGGTGAGGGACTCCATCAGTGTCTCCTGTAGTTGCAGTTAGCAGATGTCAGGGGTGTTCAATGGCCGGCTGAGGTTGGGAAGCACTACTTGCACAGAGTTCAGGAAGTTTCCCGACAGCAGGACGTCTCAGTGCTAAGCTGCACTGTGACAGGGCAAACGGAAGCTGTATGATACGACGTATCACAACTATAGACATCTAAAAATGATACACTGACAGGTTAACAGTGTTTATCTTAGGTGGAGGGGGGTGTCCAATTAGGAAGTCATTTACTTTTTTTCTGTATTATTTTATGATTTTTCTGGAATCAACACGTATTAACTTATTACTAGTTTAAAAGAAAAACATTTAAAAAATAAGTTACCTTGTCTGCTTCTGAAAGGACGTGGGGGAAGGTTAGGCTTTAAAGCCTATTGGTAAAAAACATATTTAATGATGAAAACTGAAGAGAGTCAATCGTAAGGTAGGAAGGGACACTCAGGCGACTGCCTCGCACAGGCCAGCATCACCTGGACAATGCACTGACTTCTAAAAAGGCTGGCAGCAGTGGACAGCCCTGCGCGCCGGGAGTCACGCGTGACAGCGGAGGGCGTTTGAGGTGCTTGGTGACGAGGCTTCTCGCAGCCGTGTCATTCTCTGGTTGCTCTGGTTGTGGAGAAGTTAGATCTGGGAGTGTCCTTGCTTGCTATTCTGGGCACACTCAGAAAAGCAGCTTCTCTTGGATGATGGAGGGGGAGAGGGGTCAAGGCTACTGGTGCTCTGGTCGTGTGCCAAAGACCCAGAACGCTGGTCAGGATAGGGCTGAAGAGGCACGCCTTCCTTTGCTTATTTAGAATCCCATGTTTCCATTCTTATTTTCTTCCCTCTTCTAATCTCTTTCTCTACTTTCTCTCTTTTGAAAGAGAGTGAGACAAAATTGGGGGGTCAGTTCCCTGGGTTCCTGGCCCTTTCATAGAGCTCCGAGGGTTTTCAGACCACCCAGAACTCCTTTTGCTACACTTACAAACGTGTCAGCTGAGCCCAAGGCCCAGCTGTTCTCGGGCATCACTGATCCTGAAAAGTGCAAGAAAGCGTTGGGCGATGTTGACTGAAGTCAGAGACGAGAAGATCCCGAGAAAGCCGCAGGCCTGTGGTCTCCTGCCCCCGCTGGGACGACTGCTGCTCCTGTTAGTCTCTGGGAATCTGCACAGCAACGGGCTCTGCTCTGTCCTCCAAGGACAAAGGCAAACAGCGTATTCCCAAGCATGCTGAGAGCCGGCACCTGGCCAGCCCCTGAGCGATGGTGCTGCTGTCCTATTAATCCACCCGGAGGGCCTCCTTCCATTTTCAAATCTGCATCCAGGGGAAATTCTCTGAAGATGTAACATGCGTTGTATTTTGTTTGCTTCATCACAGGCCACTGTCTTCTTTCTCCTCTGTACTCACCTGCTGTAGCATTGCATGTGACGTAACAAAGGCAAAGGGCAGGGGACACATTCCGATCCCAGAAATGGACTAAGACACGGTGACAGCAAACCCCCCTGCACACAGACTCGCTCACCAGGCTGGGGTAGGTGTTTTGCTTTGTTTTGTTCTGAATTCAGCAGAATGCACACTCACAAACTGTCTATTTGGATATTAGGATGGTAAAAGTATAAATTATCATGGAACATGAGTGAAAACATAGATAAATGATCTGTATCTGTTTATAAGATTTATGCACATATTGCTTTATATCCTTATCACAAAATAGCTTACATATTAGGAAAAATATCTGATGACATCCCCCTGAGTGGCTTGGTGTGTACCCCAATAACACTGAGGTGGCTTTCTAAATCAATGGAGGCAATAAATGAACATCAATAAAATAACACAATTAAATATATTCATTTCTGTAACAAAGAAATCTGTCAACTTATAGGACACACTCCTCGCTAAATCTTCCCATCATTCGTTGTTCCCAGTGTTGCTATTTAAATCAAACGGCAACACATCAGAAAAAGAAAACCGTCAGTTCCCAGCTCCAGGGATCACTTGCCTAATGGTGTGGAAGATGGCAGAGGTAAGGAGCTCATTGTGGACAGCGACAGCCATGTAGCGCGGCTCTCGGAATGCCGACGGCACAGTCCGCACCGCGTAGCAGAGGTAAACGCCCCACAAGAGGAACAGAAACTCGGCTGTAGGAAGAGCAAACAAGCAAACAACTCCCCGTTAGGTTTACTGGTGAACCAACCAACTAACCAACTACATAAAACCTAAGCTTTTTAGCATGCATTTTGAAGCCATTGTAGAAACATAAGTGGAGTTAGCAACAGAGGATTAAGAAGTGTTGTTCACATAGATATAGATATTAGATGCACATTTAAAATCTTATTCAATGTATCAAGGAGCTTTCAGAGGCGTACTTTGTTTTTGTTGGTTCTGACATCATTTGGAATCACAGAATCTTTTGTGTGTGCTAATACCTGTTATTTTTCCTTAAACACTTGTAAACCGATTTTCCAAATTCCACACTTCGGTTTAAGATTTTCATGCAGCATCTGGGTCATGAAGCTGCCCAGGCACAGAATCCACTGATAAGCAGACTTTTAGACATGTGAGAACACAGGTGTCCGAACACTGAGTGGCATATTTTATAAATGAAACTCTCGTTCCTCACACACCACAGCAACGACACCTTCTCTGGCTGGAGTGCTGAGGGTAGTAGGACTCACAGTCACTCTGTGCAGCGGCTGAAGCCCACAGGCAGTGCAGCCGAATGTGGGATGCTGCGTCACGGGAGACGTGGCATACCCCTCAGCAATTCACCTATCCCCTCTGGCCCATTTTCCTCATCTGGGAGACGAGGCCACAAAGGCACACGTTTCATGGGATTATTTGCTCATTAAGCCAAACAGTGCACCTAACGACCTCAACGTAGTGTCTCACACACAGTACTGCTTCAATAAACGGTTCCGACTGTTCAATTTCTTGACATTTGTCTGCAAGCTGAGCACTGCTGTTTTAACCCATTTTGACCAATAATCTTTGCAGTCCGTTTTGTCTGCCTTAGTGACATGACCTTGTTGGACTAGAATACCTACTTAATACAAAGAAAGCTCTAATCTGAGGCTAACATTTCGCTCAACCCATTTCCTAAACATAGCCTTGTAGACTGAGGCACTGACCTCTCCATTCAAAACACCAAAACCAAAGTGCTCCACCTGTCAAAGCTTTGGTTCTGCCAGCATTTAAGCATTAGATAGCACCACAAAAAATTGTGGGGAACCCCCTTAAATAAACCGATCTGTCAGGAGCTACTCTGAAACCCTCCTGTGGCCAGAGGCCAAAGGAAGCAGAACGATAATCAACATCATCGGGAACTCCCCAGCGGCTTTCCCGGAGGTCTGCATTACTCAGGGCAGTGCACGTGGGCCATGTGCTGAGAACTGTCCCCGCCAAGCTCTGCAGGATGGAGGAAAGGGGTCGGCGAGCTCCTCTGGCACTCTGTGTCCACCCCGGGCACGGCTGTGGCCTCCTTTACTGGGCTGTCAAACCTCCGGGCCACTTCTCCTTCCTGAGCTTCTGCGTGACGTTCTCTTTCACACCGATTCATTCTTCTCAATGTCACAGTCACAGCGGCTGCCCAGGCCCGGTCGGTCCACTTCTTACTGTTTCTACCAGGGTCCACCTAACCCTGGGTTCACCCCGGGGAAACTCCATCCTTCACCAGTGTCGGGCCCGTTTCTCGGAAACTCCACTTTGGTCCTGTCTGGGTTAGCCCAGATCTCTGCCTGGACATTTGGGCTAACTTAGCCACGCCTCCATTACAACGGTCACTCATACCCGCCTATACCCTAGAAATAATCTCTGTCCCCAAAGAAAGCCTGCGCGGGAGCGGGCAGACAAGTCCTCACTTCCAAGATAGCCTTGCTGCCAGGACTCTAGGGAGCTGCCTACACGGCACAGCTTTATTCTTCTTGCTTATGAAGTTCTCAGACCCAGCCTTCTAGTCTGGCGTCTGGTCCTCAGGTCAGCCTTCTGGGAGGTGTCACGTGGAACTTCATTCAGAAGTGTTCAGCCGCTCACTATGAATTCACTCGTGTTCTAACCTAGCATCCCTGGCCTTGGCACTCTGACCACATCATTGCTCTGACACAGCCCCCAGTGTTCCCAGCATAAGCTCTCTGAGCTGGCCTACGAGGGCTCGGTGGCGTCTGCACACTGCACAGACAGGTCTCGTCTTGCTTCGGTGTCTGAGTCGTTGCCCCCACAGGAAATGCCCTCACCACATTTCCAAATCTTAGCTTTTCAAGGTCCACTGCAAAGCGTCCTGAAATGAATTTAACCGACACTGAATTTCCCCTCTACTAATACCTTGTAGTTTGTACGCAGCGGCACACCATCCTGCAGAGAACCATGGCACAGAGTGTAAGATTGGAGAAAAGAATTCCCAGGCCACCCCCCCCCCCTTTTTTTTTTGACAGGCAGAGTGGACAGTGAGAGAGAGACAGAGAGAAAGGTCTTCCTTTGCCGTTGGGTCACCCTCCAATGGCCGCGTGGCCGGCGCACCGTGCTGATCTGAAGCCAGGAGCCAGGTACTTATCCTGGTCTCCCATGGGGTGCAGGGCCCAAGTACTCGGGCCATCCTCCACTGCACTCCCTGGCCACAGCAGAGAGCTGGTCCCAGGCCCTTTTGAGTCAACCCTTCCTCCTTCAGCCCAACTATTTATGACCTTCTTCAGGGCAAGACTTGAGTCTGTCAGTTATGTTTCCCCCGCTTTGCTCACAGATGGGAGAGCAGCAGTACTGAGCCCGCAACAATAAGATTTCATAAACATCTGTTGAACCGAGCGACTGAGTGGTATTGGTTGCATGTTTAGATCCTAGAGACAGACCTTCTGTCAACGTGCCACTCCACCTGCCACGGCAGGGCCTGCCACGGCAGGAGGCCCCTCTCCCGTGGTCGCTTCCTTCCCTGGAACCCTTCCGCCAGCCAACAGCATCTTAACTAGGAGGGTTTTCCTGCGACGGGTTGACTGTGAATGGAGCGTCAGCCATTCAGGGCCCGCCTACTAGCTGGTTGGTTCTGTAGTGTGGGATGTCCCGTGGGACCACAGCACCTGCTCACAGCCAAGCAAGCAGTTTTCATACTCGGCTTCTGGATTCTGCCTACAAACACTGGGTGCTCAGGTGCCTACAGAGAAGCCCGTAGAGTCCTTTCAATGCTGGTGCTTCCTAACTCACACATTGCTCCTCGCTCAAATGAACTCTGCTACGCTTTGTCTCAAAATTTTAACAGACCTGTACCTGGTCTGAAGATCACACTGGCATTATTATTGGCAGTGGTGACTTGTGTTTATCGATATGCTATTGGGTGCTGTGCTTGGCACCAGAAAATGGTGAATACAAAAATATTATTAAGAGGAGCGTAAAAATGTGTTAGTTGAAGAATCTGCACGTAGCTGCACTATAAAAACAGTACCTCCTGCCACTTACTGCAGTGTTTTCATATAACATCATACCGAAGCTCCAAAAAAGAAAGAAAAGAAAAGAAAAATCAGGTTAATTAGTGTGCTATGATGGAGGATTATATTTAAAAATCTAAGACAAAATAAGGTTTCTCCTAATAGCTAAGCCAAACATTAAAATAATTTCATTAGCAATATCAAATAGTATGCTCTAGCTGAGAAACAATTTATTATTCAAAGTACCAATTAAACTAAATGTGATATATAAAAATTGTGCTTGGGAAAAAATCAGTTTCATATAATTAACTTCAGACTAACACTGCAATTATAAAAGAAAACACGCAGATGTTACCAAATTTTGCCGTGTTATTACGTGGGAGTTGAAATGTGTGTTGTGCGTCTGCTTTACAAAATTAGTTTCTGGGGTTAAATGGCTTTGATGGGAAGTGTGCGTACAGTCAAAAAGGGAATTGGATTTATATTTAAAGATTCACATGGAGCTTTCAGGAAATTGAGGCATTCTATTTTTAACCTATAAGGGCTAACACTCAGAAGTTAACTCTCATGGCTTTTAAAAAATTGATATACCATAATGAAAGCAATTTCAAATTATTTTTCCAGTAGGGCTGGACCAGGCCACGGAGTGGGGATTCCTGTCAGTGCCTGCACCTGAGGATGCCAGCTCTGGGGCCTCAGGTCACCCTTAGGAGCTGAGAGGAACGCAGCGTGGAAGTGGGAGTGTCGCCCAGCCTGTGGCCCTCTGCTTGACCTGACACAAAGGCTCTCGGTATGACTGACATTTTACCCCTCCTAGTCCTGTTAAAATGTATTTTACATGATATGTGTGTGTATATATATATATATATTATACATAAATGATAAAGCATGTAGGTTCCATTCTGCAAATGTTTCTTTTTAAATGTCTTCTTCTATTTTTCTCTAAATCCCATCCACTTAAGAAAATTTATGACCAAACCTAACAAATTATTTTTGTTGCCACGAATGGTAACTCCTCTTGTTTCTGTTCTGAAGATGGGGTGGGCAGCACAGAGTTGTCACGGAGAATCAAATCAAACAGCTTGTCTCCAGGAGCCCTGAAGACTGTCCCAAATGCCAGCACTCTGGGGTTCAGCGGGCAAACAGAAGCTCTGACTTTTGGAAACTGATCTACTCTTTCGTTGGCTGAAATAAGGACAATTATGAGAGTGACACAGATTAAAACAACAATATCATTATTTGAGGGAGGGAGAGAGAGAGAACTATCTCCCAACTGTAGGTTCCCTCCCCACATGCCCACAACAGCTGGGGCTGGCCAGGCTGAAACCAGGATCCCGGAACTGCGCCCTGGTCTTCCATGTGGCTGGCAGGAAACCCAAGCACTTGGACCATCACCTGCTACCTACCACGGTGTGTGTTAGCAGGGAGCTGGAATCAGAAGGGGAGCCGGAGCCGGCACCGTGGCTCACTAGGTTAATCCTCCGCCTTGCGGCGCCGGCACCCCGGGTTCTAGTCCCGGTCGGGGCACTGGATTCTGTCCCGGTTGCCCCTCTTCCAGGCCGGCTCTCTGCTGTGGCCAGGGAGTGCAGTGGAGGATGGCCTAAGTACTTGGGCCCTGCACCTGCATAGGAGACCAGGATAAGTACCTGGCTCCTGCCTTTGGATCAGCGTGGTGTGCCGGCCTCGGTGGCCATTGGAGGGTGACCCAATGGCAAAAGGTCTTTCTCTCTGTCTCTCTCTCTCTCATTGTCCACTCTGCCTGTCAAAAAAAAAGGGGGGGGAGCCGGACCTGAGCCCAGGCACTTGGATATGGTATGTGTGTGTCCCAAGTGGCCTCTTATCCACTGTGCCAGGCATTACCAAAGAATGATACTTCTGCATAGAATTTAAAGTGTAAGTGACTGCATGTTTCTGAGTGTGTGTGTGGCAGGGAGGGCTGCCAGTCCTGAAGTCAGTTATGCAGCCTGGGGACAGAGACGCACACACAGGAAGTCAGAGGTTACAGCGCATCTCACCACGCGGACAGCCACTCAGAGGCAGGAATGTCTGCCCCCTTCTCAGGTCCCTGCAGGAAGGAGCCACGGGGGGAGGGCGGGGGTGGTTCTGGAACATGTCTGTGACCCCCCAAGTCCCGCCCCCAGCGGCAGCCAGTCTATGAGCAGCTGCACGCAGCCTGGGCTCCACGTGCTTTAGGCCTGGCCAGCGCCCCCGAAGTTATGCCTAGGGCTTAGGTTTACTTTTTGCTCCGTGGCTGACGAAGTCCCAGACGGACCCCGGGAAGTTTTCGCCACAGCCCATTTCAAACCCACCCAACTGCCTGTGGCAGCCGAGGGAGTTCTACTTGGAAGGAAGCGCTTCTGGTGCCCTCGTGGTCTCGGCTCGCAGCCAGCATCCGCCAGAGGTGCCGGGGCCTGTGCTCAGTGCATTCTGTCAGATAATCCGTGTTTGCGAAAGTTTTACTGCAGGAAATTTCTGGCTCCTTGGCAAGGCTGGGGACAAGTCTCTGAGAGGTGAAGTTTCAAGCTTGGGTCAGAGGCATTTGTGCGGGAATTCCGAGGCCTGATGGAGGTGCGGCCCTGCCAGGTCAGCCAGGGGCGTGGCTGCGCTCTCTCTGCTGAGGAGCTGTCTGAGGCCAGAGCCGTGCGGGGCACACGTCTGCAGGCTGCCGTTCTCGGTGGCTTCCTTTCACACGTCTGCAACGTGGACCCAGCGTTCTTCCCTCTCCCCGCCGCGACTTCAGTGGGAAAGGCAGGGGGAGCAGACTTTCCTGTCCCTCTGGCACACACATTCAAGATACTTAAAGTCTGATGCTAGGTGACAGAACTTTGGCAAGATCCAGAGACGTCAGCAGAGAGGGAGGCACCGTGCGGATTGTGGACGCGCAGGGCTCACAGGGAAAGAGTAAGAGGAGGCACAGGAGCAGGGCCAACGCCAGGGTCCCAAGCTGTGTCTTCTGACCCCCCCGCCTCTGGGTTCCCAGCCATCACCTGTGTGCACACTGCCGGGCGGGAGCTGGGGTTGGGCTTACTTGTCACCACTTACACAGTGCAGTGGAGTGCGATAACCCAGCAGTCAAAATGCCTGCATCCCACACTGGCTACCTGGGTTCAGCTCCTGGCTCCAGCTTCCTGCTACTGGAGCAGCAGCAATGGGTCAGGTCGCTGGACTCTTGTCAGCCGCGTGGGGTCCCGGATGGAGCCCCTGGGTCCTGGCTTTGGCCCCAGCTCAGCCCTGGATGCTGCTAACATTTGGGGAGAGAAGCAGGGATGGTAGCACACCTGGTGCGCGCTCGCTCACGTTCTCGCTCTCTCTCTCTCTCCTCTTTCTGTCTCTCTCTGTCTCTCAAGCAAACAAATGTAAAACTTTTTTTGAAATGAAACACGTTTAGTGGTGCAGCAGATTAAGTCCCCCCACCTGCAGCGCTGGCATCCCATGTGGGAGCTGGTTCGAGTCCCAGCTGCTCCACGTCCCATCCAGCTCCCTGCTGTGGCCTGGGAGAGCACTGGAAGATGGCCCCAGTGCTTGGCCCTGACGCCCACGTGGGAGACCTGGATAAACTCCTGGCTCCTGGCTTCGGCCTGGCCCAGCACTGGCTGTTGTGGCCATCTGGGGAGTGAACCAGTGGATGAAGATGTCTCTCTGTCTCTCCCTCATTCTCTGTAACTCTTTCAAAAAATAAATAAATAAATCTTTTTAAAAAAAAGAATAAAAAATGTGTTTGTAATTTTTGATCTTTTATCAAAGCCTGACAACACTGACAATCTATTTCCCTTTGCTTGGGCCACATTACAAGAATCTTACACAGCTGTTTTGAAGGGCTGGCTTGAATGGTTTGGGAGTAATTCCAGTGGAAATTACTTATTTATTTATTTATTTTCCATTCGTGCGGGAATATATTTAACTTTTTGTGAGGCATGAATATTTGGATGGTGCAAAAAGTCAAGGAGAAAGGATCAGTTAATTTATTTCCTATCTTCATCACATGCTTCCCGTGTCGTTTTGCTTCTTCTCTTTTGGAAGCCAAAGAAACGCAAACTTCCTTGGAGTTACTGTAGAACCTGCAGCTTACGAAGTCTGGGAGTCTCCTTGCTGCGTCAGCCGGCTCGGGACACTGCTTGACCGCCCAGTGAGGGATCGGATCTATAAACCTGCTGCTGCGTTGGCCGGAGGGTCTCTCTGACTTCATTCATCCCACGATTCTGAATGGGTCAGAATGGGTCCTGGTGGGCTGAAATGGCGAGAGCCTGCAAGTCCTTCCCACCCCACAGTCTAAGTGGCGCCCTGGTCTCCCGGGAAGCGGCACACCAGCCCCCTCCTCAGGTCACTGCGGGAATCAGACGGATGCTGTGACAGCACACTGGGACTCAGACCAGCTTGCTGTTTCAACGGGCATATTCTTTTACTGACGCATTACTTACTTATTTATTTGAAAGGCAGAGTTACAGAGAGGCAGTGGCCGGGAGGGCGGGGAGGGGAGGTCTTCTATCTGCTGGTTCACTCCCCAGATGGCTTCAACAGCCGGAGCTGGGCCAGTCCACAGCCAGGAACCAGGAGCTTCTTCCAGCTCTCCCACATGGGTGCAGGGGCCCAAGGACTTGGGCCAATTTTGCTTTCCCAGGCCATAGCAGAGAGCTGGATCGAAAATGGAGAGCCGGGCCAGAACCCAGTGCCCATTTGGGATCCCCGCCCCTGCAGGGGGGGGCTTTTCCCTGCCACGCCCCAACACCAGCCCCATGATCCTTTTTTTTTGCAAGCTGATTTTATTTATGAGGTTCCCCCCCTTTAAAGCAACACCAAAAAGGGGGGGTTTACGAATTTTTTTTTTTTTTTTTTTAAGCTCCTCCATTTTTTCCCCCTTTAAACTCGTAGGATTTCACACGCAGCTGAAACTCCTTAGAAGAAATTGTGTGTGTGGGGGGGGGTGGGCTGGGCGCTGTGATGCAGCAGGTTAAGCCACCACTTGTGACGCTGGCATCCCGTACCAGAGTGCCTGTGCAGTCCAGCCTCCTGCTACACACCTCGTAGGAAGTAGATGAGGGCCCCGGTGCTGGGCTCCTGGCATTCATGGGGGACGCCTGGACTGAGTCCCTGGCTTTGGCTTGGCCCAGCCCTGGCTGTTGTGGCCATCTGGGGAGTGAACCGGCGGATAAAAGAGCTCTTCCCCACCCTGTCCCTCTGCCTTTCAATACATCTTTAACAGAGGAGGAGGAATTGGACAATCAAATAGATATTTTAGTCCTTGGTTCATGTCTCCTAGCCTTGTCTCCAGACAACCCTGCCCTGTAACAAAACTCCCCTACCTTCAAAATGGAAAAGTATCACTGTACATATAAAATAAGGGACACTCCTCTCTGCCCTGTGGTGCCATATGAGTAGTGATCCCTCAAACAGGCAAAACACTTTTCAGAAGGGGTGGCTATTAAATAAGCAAATGACCCCCACTTAAATCATTCTGCAAACATTCAAGCAAGCCCTTCACCAAAGTGCATGTGGCTTCTAGCGATGTAGCCCAAGCCGAGCCTAACTGACGGTGCTGTCGGCTTTTATCCTGTGCTTGGCAATGAAAAACACATTTTAAAAATGGCCACAAGTCATGCAACAGGGATCAAGACACATGCTACATCAGCATAAGAAAATGTATACAGTGGGGCCAGTGCTGTGGCACAGCGGGTTAACGTCCTGGCCTGAAGCGCCAGCATCTCATATGAGCACCGGTTCAAGACTCGGCTGCTCTACTTCTGATCCCGCTCTCTGCTATGGCCTGGGAAAGCAGTAGAAGATGGCCCAAGTCCCTGCACCCACGTAGGAGACCCAGAAGAAGCTCCTGGCTCCTGGCTTCAGATCGGTGCAGCTCCAGTCATGGCAGCCAACTGGGGAGTGAACCATCGGATGAAAGACCTCTCTCTCTCTCTGTGCCTCTCCTCTCTCTTTGTAACTCTGACTTTTAAATAAATAAATAAATCCTAAAAAAAAGAAAAGAAAATGTATGCAGCGAGCCCAGGTCCAGAACATGAATCTAAGCGGGGGAGTGGGGGGGCTCTAATCGATTTGTCCCAGCGCTCGGTAAATGGTGCTGGTAGTGCGTGCCACCTGTGTAACCCACTCTTTGGGGCAATCCAGTCTTCTTAGAAACATCACTGTTTCAGGATTTCCTTATCCGACTCAGAGCCAAGTGATGATTCTGTTTTCTGTGGTGGATACCCTCCGCCTGCAACCCAGGGACACTAGCACTGCTGGACACTGGTGTCTCACTGAAAGCACAAAACGTTTAAAATTCCCAAACGAACATCAGTCCCGGCCTACGGACTCCTGAGAGTTTGTTTATGTATTGCTTAGGTTTTCTCTATGCCTCTGTTTCTGACCTGAAGAATAAAATACAGGACGCGGGCCATCAAGCCGCAAGGCCGCTTCAGACCGTGGTGTGACTCACGCATTGGCAGACTTTCACATCCATGACCAAGTGGGCAGAGTCCTCATTTTGTACGAGGTCCTTGTCAGGGATTAAGGCTTGGAGCTACCAAGGTCTGACACACATACTTAGCCGTGCAATGGAAGTTATGGGTGCCCTTCCCCTGACCACGTACCAGCCAGTTCTCATGGTTTCGGTCTGGTCAGACACTGCACTTGACGGCCTGCACTTCCTGAACTGCTCTTTCCCCCTTCCAGCGACGCTGACTCCAAAATGCAGGAGTATTTAGACTAAAAACCAAAAACACATCCAGAAAGCACCCTAGATGTGATTCCTGGCATCACGTTCTTGGTTCTCTACCCTGGATCATCCAGCAACATTCACAGTGTGCTTGGTAGACTCCCAATAACTTAACCATCCAGTATCACTTACGATGTATCTCAAAATAATTCTCGGCCGGCGCCGCGGCTCACTAGGCTAATCCTCTGCCTTGCGGTGCTGGCACCCCGGGTTCTAGTCCCGGTCAGGGCGCCGGATTCTGTCCCGGTTGCCCCTCTTCCAGGCCAGCTCTCTGCTGTGGCCAGGGAGTGCAGTGGAGGATGGCCCAAGTGCTTGGGCCCTGCACCCCATGGGAGACCAGGAGAAGCACCTGGCTCTCGCCTTCAGATCAGCGCGGTGGGCCGGCCGCAGCGCGCTGGCCGCGGCAGCCATTGGAGGGTGAACCAACGGCAAAGGAAGACCTTTCTCTCTGTCTCTCTCTCTGTCCACTCTGCCTGTCAAAAAAAATTTTAAAAAAATCTCTTTTCCTGGGAGGTACTTCCTTCATGTTTCCTACGATTCCCACCGCCCCCACCCCCACTGCTTCTGTCACTGGAGGGCTCTCTGCACTCTTTACAATAATCAGGCATCACCCACGGATCCCAGAACTTCTCCCCTATAAGGAATACAAGTTCTGGCTCCCTTAGTACCCGGCAACTGCACCAGGGGCCCTCACCACCCCATTCTGTGCTCTAATCACTTTTACCAATTCTTGAAACCAGGGATAAGGCCTTTATACGTTGTATGTGCCCCACAGAGTGCACAACACAGCGGGCACTCGAAGACTTGGGTCTCGAGTGCGTGGCAGTCCACACAGTGAGGCACAGGCCCCTCCTCGTGGTAGACTCCTCTGCACTTGGGCACAGTGACCACACTGTGTCCTCTCTTGATGCTCACAGGCCTTGCCTCTGTCTCAGGACCAATGTGGAACAGACGCCAAGGAAGCCAGCGACTTGGGAGTCATCACGCTTTTGAGTATTATTTTTGTGTGTGTGAAACAGAGAAGAAATCTAGTGGACTTTTCTTCATAGTAATGCAAGGAAATCATTTTTCCTATTTGATTAACTTGTATTGAAGGGTATAAAAATATTAGAGGTTTTCTGTTGAGTAAAGCTTTTATATTTCTTTTAAATTTAATTTTCATATGCAGATCAAAGTCAAAATCAGAACTGCTGTCTTCTTTAGTTCTAGGTTTTATCTTCTCATAGTTAGTCTTTCAGATACACTGACTACTGTATATATGATCATTTCTCACACATATTGCTTCATTGCTATACACATCAAGCTATAAGGTTCTTAAAATACCTTGCCCAGACAAAATATTCTTTCACTTGAATTGAAAACTAACTACACATTTTATTAACTTCCAGCAAAAGATGACACGGGAATATTTTAACCATTATCATATATAGGTCAGATAGAAGATGGGAATTAAACTCATATTTCATTTCTGTATCTGCCAAATAAAATTAAGATTTTTTCCTGTGACTTAATGAGGGTAATAACAAGAAAATAATAAAAGTTCGTTTTATTTTTGTTGTTGTGGTTGTAATCTTTAGAGACTTAGCTTAAAATGGCCTGCTTTTAGCAACAGAAAAATTCCTATGGATTTTCCTTCCTTTTTTTAAAAAAACAAAGCCTAGAGCACCAGAAAAATCATCTGTATTTCTCCTGCAGTCATGGTATGACTGGTCTTAGATCCTCCGTCTCTCAGCCACAGAACTGTCAGTCCCAAGCAGCAGGGCTTGGTCTTGTATCACACTGGACCTCGCGAGGATTAATCAAAAATTCTCTCTAGAGGTAAAGATGGGGAAGATGGGTTAATCAGAAATTGTGCAGACACACACAAAGAGTGCCCTGGATACCAAGTCCGATTTATCACAGGATCGTAGACTGGACAAAAACACCAACAGGCTTCCATTTTTCTCCCGACTAAAGAAATAAGAGAACAGCTACTGTTAATCAAACTGGGACCAGCGGATACAATGAGAAGCAGAAAGTGTCTTTGTACACAGAAGTCACCATTATTCACTGCACTTCTCCACTTTGGCTTACTCCAGTATATTTTCTCAACAAAGGGACCCGCCTTTGGAAACAAATGGAACCTTCCAGAAAAACGTTTTCATTCCACCTGTCACTGACGTTTTCCTAGCGCAGTTTTACCAAACCACATCAGGTGGGATTCCTGTTGTCCCGGGCTTCTACAAAAGCCCAGTGTAACGGGACTGAAAAGGGGACGAGACATTCCCTCGGACGAGAGGCCACCTACCAACTGCCGTCATGTAATCCCAGCGGTCAGTGAGGCACGTGCTGAAGATGAGGTGATCGGACGTTTGCCCCTGGCCAACCAGTGCAACGCGCCTCTCCAGATTCTGGCACACAGAGGCGGTCCAGCCGACGAGGAACCAGAGCACCACCAGGAGGATCACGGCCAGCATCCGCATCACCCGGCCGCCGGTCATGTACGGGATCCGCTGGGCTGTTCGTGAGAGGAACACCTTCAGCACCCTGCAGGGGCAGAAGACCAAAGCGCAGAGGCAAAGGTCACACTCGGAAAACAAACTCCAGGACATCCGACGGTTCTTCCTAGGTGCAACTCACGCTCACACAAACCCTTTTATGCAGAAATGGCATCCCTCATGTTTCAATTTAATTTTAGTTTGTCTTCCAACAGCAACACAGATATCCTGAATTAGCGACCACTGAAGCCATACATTCACAGATGACGGAATTCTTTTGGGCATATCTTTGAGTTCCAGGGATTAGTCACAGGACTTCAGGAATATCTGTAGGCAAACACTGCTTAGACAGATAGGGTTTCTGGGGACCAAGAAATCCTGAAAGGAAGTAGTTGGATTTTACAATAGGAAACTTAGTCAAAAGCTCCCTTGAACCAGTTGTGCAATTTTATAGTCATTAAAGGCATTTTCTGAAAACCATTCCACACGACCTCCATTTACAGTCACCTTATTATGTTACCAGAATAATGAAATAATAAAACAAAACAAGAGGGGTATTTACACACTACACTTAACTAACAAGGTCACTGCACTAAGGAAGCAGATGTGATTTTGAAACCTTGGATACCTGTAGGGGGCACGAAGGATTGAGGACCACAGGGTGAGATGATACGTAAGCACTGCCCTATCTCCAGCCATACCATAGGGGTCCCCCTTCTACCCAGTCTTCAGCTGCATCTCTAGAACATTCTCAGCTGATTTTAATTCCCCACCCTCTTCTGATATCTTATGTCACAAAATTGTGATCTGACGTAAATACCCCTGAACGGTTGACAGCTCTAGAAGAGCACCCAGAACCAGTATCCTTAAGGCAAAAATAAATTCCCAACTTCCTACATCCTCCTCGGCCTCATTTTTTAAAGCCACATACATTCTCCATAGCAGTCACTATAAATCCAGGGGTAAACACACTCCAAGTGGTCTAGACGATTCATGTTATTTTTTGTCTACATAGACTTTCAGTAGCTCTTCAGGAATTAACACATCATACCCAGGAAAGAAAGTTAATTTTTGCAGAAGATTCTTATTTATACCTTTTTCTCCAAATATCTTTAACCGCACTGTCCTCCGGCTAACATGAAGGTTTGTGGATAACACATTCACCCTCAGTTTTTCTGTGGCAGATACTAGCATCAAATACAAGGAGCACAAAAGAAGATTTTGTTTTTTGATTTTTTTCAAAATTGAGACTTATTTATTTAGAACACAGAACGACAGTGAGAAGTGACACAGAGGTCTTCCATCCACTGGCTGCCTCCTGAAATAGCTGTGACAGCCACGCCTGGGTGAGGCCAGAGCCAGGAGCCAGGAGCTCTGTCCACCCGGGTCATGCACTTGGGTGGCAGGGATCCAGGTACATGGGCCATCTTCTGCCTTCTCAGGAGCATTAGCAGGAAGCTGGATTGGAAGCAGAGCAGCTGGGACTTGAACCAGCGCTGTGGTACAGGATGTTGGCATAGCTAGTGCCAGTTTAACCCACTGAGCCATCTAACCAGGCCCCCGGATTCACAGTGACTCTCCGTCCCCTAGGTGGATGGTAAGGTGTGTGCACTGTGGCCCACACCACGCTGAGCACTAACAGTGTGCCTCCAGCACTTCTCCAACCAGTCCCACTGTTAATTATTTTTTCCCCATTACTAAGTATTAAGAATCATTTGTGGGGTTGGTGCTGTGGCTCAGCGGGTTAACGCCCTAGCCTGAAGCACCAGCATCCCATATGGGCGCCTGTTCGAGACCCGACTGCTCCACTTCCCATCCAGCTCTCTGCTGTGGCCTGGGAAAGCAAAAGAAGATGGCCCAAGTCCTTGGGCCCCTGCAACCGCATGGGAGACCAGGAAGAAGCTCCTGGCTCCTGGCTTCGGATTGGCCCAGCTCTGGCCGTTGCGGCCAACTGGGGAGTGAACCAACAGAAGGAAGACCTCTCTCTCTCTCTGCCTCTCCTCTCTCTGTGTAACTCTGACTTTCAAATAAATAAATAAATCTTTATATAAAAAAAGAATCATTTGTGTTTGTTCTCAGATTATGCCCAGTGTTATCATGCTATCTAATTTAAGTAAGCATTAAATAAAAATAATCATACATGATTTTAAAACAAAGGGAGACTTGTTTCTATAAAATCTATCTTGAATGCTTTGGAAGAACGCTTAAACAAGATGCTGAAATGCCATGTTAACTTACATGAAAGTGAGGACATTTTAATATATGTGGATGATCAATAAAATAATATCTAGAAACATTGCATGCTCAGATTAATTGGAAAACTTCCTTCTGTTTTCATGGGTAAAGAACCAGCATTATGAACACAAGCACAGCAACGCAATGCAATAGGCAATGCATTTTGGTGATTTGGTACAAGGAACACGTACACCAAGCATCAGACCCATAGTCAAAGAGAGGCTCTTATTTTAAAAAGATAGGTGAATGGCTCTTTGGTTCATTTATATATTATTATCAAACAGCTTGAACTGATGCATATAAATTGGTACCACAAGATGCTGTTGTTGTGAGAACATAGGTGTCTAGGGGAGGAGGTCTGGCAGCTCCTTGCCAACACACACATCAGCGCGGGCAGTACTGCACCAGCCCAACCATGTGGGAACGGACAGCCCCACTCACACTGCGGGTTTGATGACCGACAGCTACAGGTGTATTATGCTTCAACAGCCATGGCCCACCACCAGGACAGCAGCAGCCAGCCTGCACTACACCTGGCCTGGCCCCCATGGCAAGCGCCTTCTGAGCGCCACCCACACTCCCTTCCCTTTCTGTGCACTGCGTGAGCCCCCACCCCTTCCCAAGTAGCAGAGCCACGATGTGAACTTGTCACCAGCACCTGCTGGAAACAGCCAACATGGCTGCAGGCTGCGCGCCTCCCCCTGATCTGTAGGTCCTTTTAACAAAGTTACCATGTGGGACACACCCACTCCCACCCCATGTGGGACACACCACATCCCATCCATGCCCCTGAAGACATGGCACTGTGGAAAGTTCCTAAAAAGGGCATGGAATTGGTGGTGCTTGAGCCCGCCCCTAGCTCTGCCCCGTTTTGAATATTCCTTCTGGGTTCCACGAAGTTTAGCCCCTCACACCCAGGAATCTGTAGGGAGCTTTCCTCAGGTGGACAGACACTGCTTCAGAGAAAGTCAGGAGACCGCCCATTTCCTGAAACTTGGAGATTGGCACACTCCTCGTTCAAACACTGAACCTCAAAGAGAGCTAGCCATGGATTCATTAGTTACCCGTCTCCCTTAAAACAGCTCTCTATTAGGGGAATTCTCTTTTTTGCAAAGGAAATATATGTGATCTGAGTTTGCTCATCTTTTAACAACAACAACAAAAAAATCCCACTTCTAAATTATTAGAGAACCCCACGTCTTCCTGATGATGCTTTGGGCATTTATTGTATAGCCTGAGAATTCAAGATTGTCATAAATCCCATAATCTCATTTCCAAAAAGGAATAACCAGAGCAGAAGCACCCATGAATCTCCTTTATTACTGACTTTATGGGCTTCCAAACGACAGGAGACATATGGATATAGCCCTGTGCTTCAATCTCAGCATTTCCGTGTATGGGCTTTTATAAATTGGAATATGATGCATTTCTCTACCATTGACTTACAATGAAATGGGGACACTACTGTGTCTTTAATAATGGTCTTAGGATCACGGTGCATCCTGTTTATATCCACCCAACGTCCAGTCCCTCTATCCTACGACAAAGTGGTGGCTCTCTCCACCCAACGTCCAGTCCCTCTATCCTACGACAAAGTGGTGGCTCTCTCCACCCAACGTCCAGTCCCTCTATCCTACGACAAAGCTCCTTTGAAGACTGCTTCCTCCTTCCCTCAGCAGCCTCTTCTCTGACTGCTCCCCTCCCCGCAGTTCTGCAGGTCCCTGTGGGCTAAGAGCAGGTGCCCGCTGCCCACCCCTCTGCCCTCGACTTCTCTCACTGCCCCTGCCTCCATCAATACAAACACAGTCTTGCTCAATTCTGTGTATCCTTTCATGTCTCAGTGTAGACGCTGCCAGCTATCTGGGCCAGTGGCTCCCAAACCAGAACCATCACTATCACCTGGAAGCTTGTTAGAAAGACGCATCCTCACATTGCATCCAGAACTATGGGGTGCGAAAGTGGACAGGGGGTCCAGCAATCTACTTGAATAACCCCTTCCCGGGAGTCAGCTGCAGGTTAGCATTCAAGAGCCGTTGTTCTCATTCTTCCTCAGAGGTTTAAGATTGGAGCAGGTGCCTGTCCACTAGGCTGACTGCTCTAGTCTGCCAGATACGTTTTTGAGTGTTTATTATGCTGATGCCAGAATACACGGCCTCCAGGAGAAGGCAGTCGTTAGGTCACAGCTTGGGACACCAGTATCCCAGATCAGAGTGCTTGGCCCTGGGAGGCAGCAGGTGGTCGCTCGAGAAGCTGGATGCCCGTCCCCAGCGGGGAGCCCTGGTTGAGTTCCTGCATCTTGGCTGCAGCCTGGCTCAGCCACAGCTGCTGTGGGCACTTAGGAAGGAAATCAGTGGATGCAAGACCTTTATCGCTCTCTCTGCTTTCTTTTTTTTTAAAGATTTATTTATTTTACTTGAAAGTCAGAGTTACAGAGAGAGAGAAGGAGAGACAGAGAGAGAGAGGTCTTCCATCCACTGGTACACTCCCCAATTAGCCACAACGGCTGGAGCTGTGCCGATCCAAAGCCAGGAGTCTCCTCCGGGTCTCCCACGCTGGTGCAGGGGCCCAAGGACTTGAGCCATCTTCTACTGCTATCCCAGGCCATAGCAGAGAGCTGGATCAGAAGTGGAGGAGCTGGGTCTTGAACTGACACCCATATGGGATGCCGGCACTGCAGGCGGTGGCTTTCCCCACTACGCCACAGCGCCGGCCCCTCGCTCTGCTTTTTAAATAAAACACAAATTAATTTTTAAAAGCTTCCAGTAGTGGAAAGATTTCAATTTTCAGAACATTCACTTTTTTTTTTTGCTGATT